GAAGGGCGACGGGTGTCGTGTTGGTCAGAGCAAGCAGAATCCGCCTCAGCAGCAGAGCAACCCGAACTATAACAAGAAGCAGCAAAACAAACAGAAAAAGCAATCTCAGCTGAAGCAGACCACGCAGCCGAACGGTGCGAAGGCGTCGAGTGCTACAAGTACTGCAACGCGTTCAAAGAAGCCAACAGGCTGCTCAAACCGCAGAGAACCTGGGCATCGATTGTTTGAGTGCACCAAGCCCGCAAAGAAAGCCGTAAAATTCGATCCCGAAGGCCAAGCGAAACAGGCCATGCCGCACTGCAGCGACAAGGATGACTCGAGCTTCATTAGCGATGACGGCGATGGTCATGCCAGCATGTGGATGGCTGCAGCAGGTATCGACGATCCAGCATTGAGGACGTCTCCCCGGATCGTAGATTCAGGTGTCTCTCATCACATGTGCTCTCGGGAGGACGTCCTGATCGGAGCGGTGCCATCAACGATGACCATCACGGCTGTCAACGGTAAAGTGGTCACGGTTAGCATGAAGGGCAGCTGCCTGATTCGTGTGAGTGGCGGCCGTACCAACAAGGTTGTGCTACTCCGCGAAGTTCACTGTGTTCCTGAACTACACTAAAGCCTGCTATCGGTCACGGAGCTCGCTGATCACGGTATCTCGTGCCAGTTCAACTCGAGCAAAATCTGCGAGCTATATAGCCGCAATAAGAGGGCCATAGCTGTGGCAAACCACCGTGGTAAATTGTGGAAGCTGGACGGCGATATGGTGGATCTTAGCACCAACATTGTAGCAATGTTCGTTGATGCATCGAGCGCTACACTTCAGCATTGGCACAACAGGTTGGGACGCATCAACTTCCAGAGCCTGCTCAAGATGCACACACCCGGCCTGACTAGTGACATGAAGGCGCTGTCCAAGATGCTCAAGTTCTGTCTACCGTGTGCTGAAGCTAAGCCGACCAAATCAAAGCAGCCAACCGTCGATACTTCGACATCAGCACCCACGGATGAAATAGGTACTGTAGTTGCTGTCGACTTGAAGACCGACATCAAGCAAGACCGACAGGGACACAAGCACATGCAGACGATCGTAGACCATGGTTCGAGCTACAATGGTGTGTACCTGCTGTATACCAAGGATGAAGTTGCCAAGCATCCCGAGGGCTTCATTGCTGAGTTCGAGAAACAGTTTGGGGTCACAGTGAAGGTGATTCACAGTGACGGTGGCGGCGAATTTCGTGGTCGTGGATTTGTGGAGATCTGGAAGAATCGTGGTATTCGACAGCAACTCACTCTTCCAGACAGCTCGGCATCTAGCGGCAAAGTCGAACGCATGCACCGAACGTTGGTGAGCTCTGCGCGTGCTAATCTGTGGATGTCGACACTTCCCGAACGCTACTGAGGCGATGCAGTGCTATTTGTCTCGTATGTGCGCAACCATGTGCCGACTCGTGCTAATGCAGACCACAAGGCATCGTTGCATGTCCTGACCGGAAACGCGCCCACGGTGGGCCATTTTTTGCGGTTTGGTTCTTGGTGTACAACTCACATTGCACACAAGAATGCTGCATCTGTCAAGCGTCGTGCCGAGAAGACAGTGGTCATCGGCATCAGTAACATCCAAAAGGGATACAAACTGCTTATCCCGCGGACGAAGAAGATTATCGTGAGCGCCGAGGTACAAAATATCCAGAAGATTGACGTCAACGACCCTGAAACCAATGAGGTTCTTGCGGAGCTACATGATGAAAATGATGCAAGCGATGACCAGCCGCAACAATCGACTGTGGATCCATCAGCTACGACACCCAACGTCGAGACTCGATCGGCTCGTAAGCCCTCACTTGTCGCAACGGATGGCCCGTTGGCTGTCGGCGTGACACACCCAGCGATGATCCTGGAGAAAGCTTCGACGAAGAGGACGACGACTCAGGAAGGACCATCAGTGCTGGAGTGCTTCGACGTGTGTTCGGATCTCGCAAGAAGTTGAAGAGGGATGACTTTGAGCTGAGTCAGGATCTCATCAGTGAGCTCGCCGGCCATGCTACTCTCTTGCTGACGACCGTCAAGCCAGCAGCCCCACGTAACGTTGCCGAGGCGAGGGGGGGGCTGAGTGGCCGGCGTGGAAAGCCACTATCGAGAAGGAGCTCGCTGACTTGAAGGCCAACGGAACTTAGGAAGTGGTGGGAAGACCTCCTGGTGAAAAGCTGATCTCGTCTAAGTGGGTCTTCCGAACCAGTCGGGGAGGGCTCGAGCGCTTTAAAGCTCGCTAAGCTGCGAGCGCTTTCACGCAGCGCTTCGGGATTGACTTCGCAAGACCTATTATCCCGTACTAAAGTTTCTAGCGTGCGATTCATGATCACTGTGGCTGCGCAGTGGTAACGTCGGCTGAAGCTAGGTGACGCTCCTAATGTCTATGTGAAGTCCGAACTCGATCGACAGCTCTACATGCACCATCCTGAAGGCAGTGGCGATGAAGGCAAAGTGTGGCTTCTGCTTAAGAATCTTACGGACTCAAGTAGAGTGGTCTGCTATGAAACAAGGCCATTAACGCATACATGTTGTCTATCGGCTTCGTGCGCAGCAAATTGGATCCCTGTCTGTACTTTTGCCGTCATGAGGGCAAGCTTTGGTTGCTTGGTCTGTACGTGGAAGCCGTTCTCGTCACCAGTGGAAGTGACGAGGGGGTCATGGACAAGTTGAACCAGCGTTTCGACATCAGGGATCTCGGCGAAGCGGACAATTGTCAGCATTATTCGTCGCGCTGATGGATATATTCTCCACCAACGTGATTCTATTCAGCAGCTGCTTCTCGACATGGAGATGGCAGACTGCAAGGCGATGACAACCCCCATGGTCACCATGCGCCTGTACGACGACTACGTTATCATGGAGCGCAGCAGCGTCATGCGCAAGGCTGTGGGTTCGCTGTTGTGTATCTCAAACTGCACCCATCCAGACATCACGACGGCTGTGAACGACTTCGCGTGCTTCGTGGCACTATCTTGTGAAGGCCGTTGGGCTGGTATTAAGCGCATCCTGCGCTACCTGCGCGGCACCAAGGACTACGGTCTGTTCTTTTAGTCTGGTACTAACGCGGCGACGACGTTCCAGACTACAATCTTCGCCGATGCCGATTGGGCCGGTGACAACCGAGGCGCCAAATCTGTCTACGGTGCTGTAGTGATGCTGAACGCCATGCCGATCGAGTGGCACTCAAAAAAGCAGAACTCGGTCGCACTCTCGACCATGAAGGCAGAGTATGTGGCGGCTGCGATGGCAGTAAAGGACTGCATCTGGATCAGACAACTAATGGTTGAGCTTGGGCTGTGGACACAGAACCAAGCGTCTCTCTTACGCGTGGGCAACCAGTTAGCCATCAAGGTGGTGAAGAACACTATGGCCACGCAGCGGAGAAAGCACATCAACATCAAGTTTCACTTCATTCGTGATGCTATCGCGAAGGGTGATGTGATAGTAAAGTATTGCCCCACGCAAGAGCAATTTGCCGACATTTTCACCAAGCCGCTACAACGCGTGCTATTCGAGTGGCTGCGGCTGCGGCTCCATGTTGTCCCAGTGATGTAGCTCTCGAGGGAGGATGTTGGATATGCGAAGACCTGGCTATGGACTTTGGGTGACGAGGTCGTGGTAACAGCAGCTCCAATGGAGAAGCTGTTGGAGATCATGGAGGTGGAATGCTCGAGTAGGATGACCGATTCAAGCGCCAGCCCGAACAAAGGGCTGAAGTGCTCGGCGACCATGCGGATGAGCTTGCACGAATATTGCGTGACTGTGGTCATCGCATGCGACGACGGACGGCTTCGGATGACACCAGCGCCTGCGTATGAAACAAGGTGTTTACTATATTTGACGACGTGATGCTACTAAACGATGGCTACGTCATGTATCATGGACCACGTAAACAAGCACTGGACTACTTTGAAAGGCGGGGTTCAGGTGTCCTCCCAATCGCGCCGTGGTCGACTTTCTCATGGATTTGGGCACTGTAGCACTTTCAGGAATGTGGGAAGAGTAGAAGACGAGAGCTGTTGCTTGAAAGGTAAATTGAAAGTGAATTGATAGTTAGTACGCTCCTAGTTGTCTTCGCACTACGACTAACCTACGAGCCTCTGGTGATGGCTGCAGTAGTGAGATCACGACCGTCCTTCGGAATCGCTTGGCCAAACTGCGCAATGTTGTGACAATATCCAGCGTCGCAGCACTATCGAGACCCGTGCTGATTTCATCCATCAACATAACATAGTTTAAACCGAATGCCATTTCGCCGGTGGTCACGCGTTTGAGCTCACCACCAGAGACGCCACGCAACGTGGCATCGCCCAGGACGGAATTCTGGTGTCCCAGTTGGCGAGTCATCATGTCCGGATAATGTTTACGCAAAGATCGATCAGCCGCCACTGCAGCTTTGTTTTCTTCGTCGGAACCAAGCACTAGCTGCTTTTCGTCGCTCTTGGATAGCTTAGCGCCGCTGAAAGCATGTGCGAACTCGAAGTGTTTCTTTTTCACAGTCAGTGTGGGCAGATGCTTGTCGTAGGGGTCGTCTGATAAATTTCCATAGGAAAATCAAAATCGATCTGGCGATATGTCAAATATTCCTCCAATCCTTGTAATCCGATATTAAAAGGGTAAATGAAGTGCAATCTGCGCTTGTTCAGGGGACTTCTTTACTTGATCGATTGCCAGAGCTGATGATGATGCGATCGAAATAATTATATGCCACGACGGTTCATCGACTTGGAAAGCTACAGCTACATCTTTTCGTCTAGCAACAAACGTGAGTCTCTTAATCACTTTTCGTTTTGCTCTGTTGCATGTAAACCGTCCGAAGGCCCTTCACGGATATGCGTACTGCAAGCTTTACATCAAAGGAGCATTCGACTTTAAAACTTGACGAGATCGGCTATGACAATGGAGTTAAGCTCATGACAAGTGGTTCATCGGCTCAACACGACCACGTGGCGAGACGGCTGGAGCGATCAATGAGTAAACCGCTTCCACAAGTGGAAGTGCGTTTCAACAACTTTCTGTGCGAGTTATCGTTCAAGATGACACGCAAATCCGAGCTCCCAACTCAAGTTTGTCGCGACGAAAAAAATGTGGTCGAGAAGCAGATCCTTCGTCCAGTGAGCTGTGTATTCAAGCCAGCACAATGACGCTGATGTTGGGGCAAAAAAACCTGGATCTGTGAGAGTGAAGGTCATGTCCTCGTAATATATAAAAATAGGAAACGAGACGATGTCGAATTAAAAATAGCTAAAAGGAATGGCAATATCCACCAGCTTGCTCCCAAAATGCAGATTTTTTCAATTCTATAGATAACTCCCATTGGTGCACTCACATTGGTGCACTCACAAACCACCTTGATCATCAGAATGATAGCATTATTCGACGAGGTGCTGTCGTTTACATGCCGGGGAGAGCTTTAGTTGAGCCAGAAGATGCGGTACGCTCTAATTTTCGCTTTAAGTTTTCGACCTGGTGTCGCTCAACTAAAAAGCGTGACAGGAATACCCGCACGTGCCAACACCAAAGGAGCTGGAGCTCTCTCGGCAACTGGTGGAGATTCAACAAGAGGAAAACGTAAGAGAGACCCGGGCACTAACACAGATCCGTGATCTCGAGTCACAAGTCCACAAGTAGGTGGCAAAGAGCTACTGCTGTTGGTCCATTCATTATTAACCCTGTACAACTCTTTCTGTGGTGGTAGATTGCAGGTTCGCGTCCATGATCTTACTCAAATGCTGCAAAGCACCAAGCGTGACCAGATTCTGGCTCAACAAGCGACCGTGGAAGAGGAGCGAAAACGGTGCAAAGTGACCGTCCAAGCTCTCCAAACTGAGCTTGATCAAAAAAGGAATGACAAAGAAGCTCAGAAGAACTGGCAGTGTCGATTCATTGCGCCGGTTGACGTTCCCGACGACGTCTTCGGTTGCTCCACTTCTTCTATGCCAGCACCTGTAATTGACCCGAAGGAGGACGTATTCTCTCGTTTCGCCCAGAGTCTCGCGCTTCTTCCAGCCTCGCAGGCGCCGCAGGTGGCTGAGGCTGGAGCACTACCATTCCTCGTCCACTTACTGCAGCAGAAGATGGGCGACGTTGTCACTGGATCTGTACTCATAGCGCTTGTGCACCTTGCAATTTACCGAACTAAATCACGCTCTCATCAGCCATCGGCATCATCGAAAAATGGACTAGATATCCGCGAACAGATCGTCAAGGCCGGGGTGTGCTTGCCTCTAATTGAACTCCTCGAAAACTCTGAAAACGCTCGAGTTCTCGTTGAAGCTTCTCGTTTGTGTGCAGCTTTGGCGAGTTACGTCCCCAACAAGCGCGTGTTGGCCTCGAAAAACGTCGTGCGCGTCCTCGCCCAGCATCTGATGCCACGCATTCCTCCAAGGAATCGAGAAAAACGGGACGACGATGACGAGGAGGATATCTCCTTGAAGCTAGAGCAAATTCCGTTCCCCTGGGATGTCGATGTCCAGCAGAACATGCTCAGTGCACTCACAAATCTATCACATGGTATGAGGCTCTATCAGTATTAAACTCCAGTTTGAGACTTACTAGTTGTTTCTTGCTCTAGACTGCGAAATTCTTCGGTCTCAAATTGCTGCTACTCCAAATTTCTTGCCAATTGTCGTGCGATATGTTCGAGAAAGCTCAAGTTCTGGGGTGCAGACGGAGGCTGCCAAACTTCTCGGCAACATGGCGTACAACCACGTAGTCAACCAGAGTGCCTTGATGGCAGCTGAAGCACCTTCTGCACTGACTGCGTGTCTCACGGCTGCCAATCTACAGCGCAGTCCACTGCTTGCTCGAGCAGGGGCGATAGGTCTTGCGAACTTGGCGTATACGTCGGTGAACCAGCTCACCATCGGCTACAGCAGTGCGTCTACGCTACTCCTACAGTTGCTGGTAGACGCCGTGAGTCAACCGGCAGTCGTCGAGGCTGCATCGACTGCACTCGCTTGCCTCTGTCATCAGAACCCACCGAACAAAGCTCGCATAGCTGCTCAAAATGGACTCCAGGTGCTGCTGTATGCACTTGGCGCAACGCGTGACACGGAAGGCGACGAGGATGAACGTGGTGTCGGCGCAGCACTTATCGCACTCTGTGACTCCTTCGCCGTTCTCGCCAACTCCAGACCCGATCGACAGCAAGTCTTGGAGCTCGACGGCCATTTTCTTCTTTGTCAGCTTTGCCACAACTGCTCCGTCATGAAGACGCCAAAGCTGCTCGAGTCCTCCGCACGTGCCATATGTGCACTAGTGCCGCCTCCACTCGAGAGAAGCGCGTTGCTCGCAGATAGCAGAGAAAGCAAAATGGAGACGAAATCCGTCGCACTCAAGGCTCTGGAGCGTGCGCGTCACCTGTTAGAGCAGGAGTCTCAACGTCATCGTCACGGCGAAGAGGGAGACGCAATGAAAGGCCGACGTCGCTGGCTCACGCAGACGATTGACTTGCTTATTAGTTACCAAATCTCCGCTCCATTGCCGCTAGAGAAGACTGGAAGCGACGGACAAGTCGAGTTCCGCAATCGTAGCAGCTTCTCCCTCGAGTCACTCACTGCGATCCCACCTGACGATCTCTGTCCTCACTTCTACGACCACTAAAACCAGGACCCGCTCATCAACTCGTTGTTGCTCCGTCGCCTTAAAAAAAACTTAACGCGACGAGCTGACTCATGTAGCCTTCTTGCGTTGGTGCACTTGTCCCGGTCTACCACTTGCTTGTGGAGACCTCAGCGGAGCGCGGGAAAATCCGCCTCGTTTGCCTCCAGATCGCCTATGAGCCGGCGACGATGACGAGGCCCATTCCCACACAGCCAACTCTTGACCCTGCACTCTGTAACATTTAGCATACATTCGTAACATCAGTACATGTTGTCCAGTAATAAAAGACAGCATTGGGTACGTACTTCATCACCCGCGCTCTAATCCGAGAATCGTCGTTCACGACAGCCACAACTTTGGGCCAGACGCTTCTGCACAACCAAGCTCGATGCTGGAGCGATTGTTTCTCGAACAGATCGTCGCGGAGATGATCGGAAGGGTAGAAGCGATCGCGTCTGCGAGTCCGGTCTAAGAGGAAGAAGCGCACCTCCTTCACGAATCGATCCACCAACTGCCGTTCGGTGCGATACAACAGAAACTGTCGGTAGCCGAAGACCAGCACTGTGCCCAACGCGACGGCAAGAGCAATCAGCTTCATGTGAGAGTATAACTGGAGCTTGGCGCGGCACGACCACGGCACGACACTGCCGCCCACGACGAGCTGTCTCTGGTCTTCAGTCACAAAGATGTCCTTCAAATCACGTAGAGCCATATCCAGAGCGCGATTTAACACATACTCGCGAGGCAACAGTGCTACAACCTTGCCGAACGAGATCGTCCTTGTCACGAAGACTTGCACATCAGAGAGCAGCACTTCAATTGACGTCGTCGCGTCTCTTGTGGCCTCTGCTTGACCTACAGTGAGGTAGCTCCATAGTGACACGTTGTCACACACAATCTTTGCAGCCTTCTCGACGACGAATTTCTGGATTGCGACGGCGAGTTGGTCCAAATTCTGCTGGATTTCTGGGTTTTCCTTGCAGAGTCCGGAGTGCAGTAGATACGGAGGCGCGCACGATATCACGGAGCCATTGAGACAATTGCCATACACGGGACATGGCTGACAGAGCGGTGTCGACGTCTGTGTGGCCATTGCAGTGGCTCCAATAAAAGGCTGCAAGGCTTTCGAGCGATCAAAGTAATCTGCAGGATCCGCAAGCACAAACGATCCCTCGTTCGCTTCAATCCACTCGCTATCACAGTAAGGCAACGACGGCTCCAATAACTTCTTGGCGAACGGTGCTGCCACGACCACCACACAAAGCAGGAACGCTCCCGACAGGAGCCAGAGAGAGAACTGACGCCAGTCTAAGTGCACCACTTTGCCCAGTCGGTTGATCTTGCTCTCCGTCGTCTCTTCGTCCGTCTCTGCTTCCTCCTCTTCCAACCGCGCACGCTCCTCTGCTTCCACTTCTCCAGGTTTATTCTCGCTCGATCGATCGTCTGATTGGCTCAAATTCCTCTCCGATATGGCACTCCGTAATGCGATTATTAAGCCTGTAGCGCCGCTATCTTGTTGCACTTGTTGCTCCTTCATGGCCGAGTACTCACTTCTCAGCTTCACCCGTCGACGACGTAAGATCTCCCGATCCTTCTGCTCACTGTCGGTCAGAGCTTCTTCGGAAGGGAATCTACGCTTAACTCTCGGTGTGCTCGCTCTCAGCATCGTCTCCAGAATTCCGTCTCCCTCCACTGTCACCAGCTTCGTCACATCCGGCATAGTGGTCAAGTCCACGGCTCCATTAGTAGCTGCTGCCTCGGAATGGCGAAATGGTGGCGTCTCTAATAGGGTGGTTCCTGTACTATAGTGATTGTTCTTGGGCCTGGGGCTCTGCACAGAAGGGTCTGCGTAGCGACTGAAGAGTGGCAGCTGCTGCTTCACCTTTTTCCTTTCCTCCTTTGGTTTTGGTTCTGCAACTCTGTTGGGAGTGACAAGTCGGCGCGTCTTGAGCTTGGGGCGGGAGGAAGGAGATGACGCTAGTGCTAGGGCTACAGGATCAGGAGGAGCCTGCTGACGTCGGCGCTTGTTGCGGGTCGAAGCAGAGGAGACAGGAGGCTTGCGCTTGAGACGTGAAGCTTTACGTTCCATTTGGAGCAACTTCCGATGATTTCTGAATTCGATTGGGTAGTTCCGTACCGTATGATAGCTGTCATACCCTACTTAGGATTATAGCCAATCCAATTACCGGTATTGTGTCCTGAAGTAACTTTATGAGCTCGGCGTGACCGTAGCACTACAGTAAGTTACCTCCAATTCGGCAGGGCGGACCATATCAACAGTGCCAGGGCATAAGTGCACAACACGTAAAGCAAAAAACAAACGCAAATCTAGTGCACTGATATTAGTTTTGTTAATTCAGTGCAAAATTTGCGTTTAGTTTTGAGACAATGCCTGTGTGGCACCAACAGTTTCTAATCAGTGTCTTTGCAGATATGTTGTTCCAGCCTTCAGACAACCACTTCATGGTGGAGTAAACGTCGACTGGCGTGTAAGGAAGACCCTTGTAGAACAGTTCGGAGTGAGAAGCATGCAGGATCTGACTTGTGCTTCTCGCACAAAGACTGCTTTTGTGCTAGAGTTAGGGACATGTAGGAGGAAGGGCGATGTCCCATTGTCTTTGGCGGTAAAAATCGAAGTGTGTGTTTGTATGAAGACGTCCGATCCAAAATTCAAAATCAGATCGATGCGGCGTGTCATCCCTCCGCGAGGAGGGGAAGACCGTTGAGGTTAATTGCTAGGGTGGTGATGGGCAAAGGTAATTGCGCATCCGATTCGCGTAATCATAAAATCTGGCAGGGTATCGACTGATACCGGTGCCGAATTGGAGGTGCACGACTGTACCAGAAAAATAGTCCTTTAATACTGAGATAGGAAGTAACGAAGTTGCTGTATAGCACAGCCCAACAAGGATTAATTCGAACGGATAGGCAGGACCGGTATACCGATGCACGCACCGGTGGCGACTGGCCTCCCCAAAATGCTTATTCGTGTCGGACGGGCAGGACCGGTATACCGATGCACGCACCGGTGGCGACTGGCCTCCCCAAAATGTGACTGGAGAAGACTTCCTTCGTTACTATAACAGTTTGTGACTGAAAAAAAACACTTCCTTCGTTACTATAAATACGACGCCAAGGTCTACGAGGTCTCCATAGTCCAGTAAATACTAACGGCTTGCATGAATGATGCTCGCGGTGTAATATTGGTGTTGCAACAGCGCGAGTTGCGGTACACATGAAGGCCATTGCGCTGCTCTTAAAGGTCTGCTTTATTATTCTTTTCAATCTTTTGGGAAGCTTAATAACTTAAATGGTGTTTGTATCAAGCAGCTCTGGTCTTGGCTTGGCTTAGTGCGAATACTTGAGAACGAAAATGATGAGATCGAAGTACAGTACCATGATTGTGATCGACCTGGTCAACATCTGCTCCTACGTTCAACAGAATAGAGCAAACGCAATTCTACTTGCCGATTGACGGAGTCAGACGCTGGTGTGTAGATTGTGGATTGACAATGTGAGACCTGATAGACGTTTGTTAATGTGACCTGGGAGAATGACAGGAACTGGAGGAGCTATGTTGGCGACGCAAGTGCAAAGTTAGTATTTACTGATCTATGGAGGACGAAGGAAGGAATGCGCAGCGCCGTCGTGCGCGGGCTGATGAGTCGTTCGCGACCAATCTATTTGCGTGTCGTGCATCGCCTTCGTTTTTCCCGTCCGGGTAGCGTTGGACGGAAGCGGAATCTAAGGCGTTTCGCTCGATGACATCTGATATGGCTGCAAGTTTGATCAACGAACTTACCGTTGGCGACGTTGAGAGGGGTCCAGCCTGGATTGACGATTCAACGATTCTCGTAACAAGTAATGTAGACAAAGCGATCCTGACGGCGAGCACGGCTAGGCGTTTCGCGATGCGACATAATCAATATCTTTTCCGCTGGAAGCGCCCACTACGTCGCGAACTGCCGTCCGAAGTACTACGGCTTGTGTACGACGAAGACGCCGATCCAGAACTGTTTGGATACTTTGTCGCTGGAACGCCAGCTCGCGTCCTCGACAATACGAATGGAAACGTCGGATGGGGTGTGGCAAACGGTTCGTCTTGTAAATACCACTCATTAGCTTGGGGCGACGAAGACGAGCGGCGTCAGGTCGAAGAGCTGATTCAGCGTGCACGCCAAATTAAAGAAGATGTGGTAGACCGCCCGTTTCCTCCTGACTTTATCATTGTTGAACTCTTGGATTCAGCTCTCCCGGCTAATAAGTGGCCTCCTACGAGCAATTTGGAAGAAACATGGGAGACTTCTCCGAATGGAGCGCGGATTCGCAAGACAAACGTTTTGATCCCGATTGGAATTATGAAGTCTCTAAATGGGAACCGTGGTGTGGGTCTAGGCAATTAGGTTTTGGATACACCGACGAGCGTAACGTATACACAACACGCGGTCGACTTAGTCTTCGTCGTGATCGTATGGAAGGCGCAAGGTTGTACCCTTAACAGGGTGCTGCTTTTCTTTAGCCTTCGCGACCGCATGCCCCAAAATGGGGCTTCGATCACTTGTACGTTGGGCTATCGCGAGTCACGCCGGTAGCTCAACTGCGTTGTTTCCCCTTGTCTGGTGCGGTATATAAGTCCAGCCTTTTCAGACTGAGACCGAACATACACACGACTAAGTGGAGACTTGAAAACCAGAACGCCACGGTAAAATAAAAGCGTTGAATCTAACTTTGAAAAATTATAAAAGCTCTAGGCTAGTGACGTTTAAGGTCTAGATCATGATCGCCAGTGGGTGGTGAAGTAAAATCTCTTGTTGTCTTTCAAAATTAAAACCGATTTGCCGTTTCCTACGTAATAGCTATGGTTTAGTGAATTTTAGGCGGGACTAGACCTATCACCGATCTGAAAGATCTGAAAGTTGACGATCAAACTAAAACAGATTGTTGTTGCCTTGAGTAGATTTGCGTCAGTCGGTCCGCTTTCGTCACTCTCTTTCGTCGATCCGCATCTCTAGCAGGGTAATAACTTTGGGGTATGCTTTCCTCGCTATTCTGCATGTCATTGTCCAATATTTTTTACACTACAAGACAACATGGAGAGCGTTCAAGCTGTTATAGAGCGATCCCCAGCCGCAGGAAATGGTGATTTTGCAGTTGCGCTGATTGAATCGTATTTGTTTCCTCCTGTCAACCTGGAATGATCTGTCCGACTTCGATCGTTCCGACTGGTCGACTGCATAGCACGGTTAACTTCCGACGACAAAACAAGCAGATTAAGGTGTTTCAGAGATTTAATGTTGCTCTTGAGAAAGCAATTCGCGCCAACGACATTGACTTTTGGCGGCGTAGTCAGCACTGCGGAGCCGCTGTTGTTGCAGGGGTCTGTTGTATCTCTGACTAATGCTAAGATTCGCCGGTCCAAGCGTAAATACGCAGTTGAAGGTCAAACGTACGAGCTCATCATCGGTCAGGATACTATCATTCGCGTACAGAATGATGATGGTTCTATCCCACAGTGCAACTTCAACTTTCTCCCTATCAGCGATCTTCATACTCTGACAACTGATTCTTACGTCGACGTTATTGGAATAGTGACCCAAGTGGATGATATTCGAGAGCTTACGGATAGCTGTCTTTGCTGCGTCGCGCTTGTGGATAGTTCAATACCGACGTAAAATGTGTTACTTGGCGTGATATAGCAATGAGCGTTTCCTCGGCCTGGGTTGGAAAAGTATGTGCTGTAAAAGGATCTCGTATCTCGCGCCGGAACGGGCTAGAAATCACAACGGTGCTAAACACGTCTTGCTCACTTCAACCCGACATTCCCGAGACCGCCCAGCTTCTACAATGGCGAGCGGCGAACTTATATAAAGTTCCGAGGCTCCAAGAACCTTACGTGGCGTACAGTGGAGCAAATCTTGGCTGCTGACGTCGGGGTGTTTTTTTTAAACTCGGTTACGACAATTAAGCGCGTCGGATATCCCGTGACAATCCGAAATGGCACTAGTCGCGATTGTGAGATTAGACTTGTCGACAGTACGTATCTTGCACTCTTTGGGGTGGATTTGCTGATTCCGTAACAAAAGCGCACCAGCACAAAGCAATAGCTCTGCAGGACTGTCGAGTGACTGAATATCAGGGTAAGAAACTCTCGTCTACTCCTAGAACGTCGCTGACACTGGAGCCGGAGTCTCCACGTGGGTAAATTTTCGCCTGTCAGTACGCTGTCTTGAAAAGGTTAGTGCATCATGATACGTTTTTTCTGCATAAACCAAGGTTAATCAAAAAGTTGTCCGCTCTCCGCTGGTTCGCTAAATTTCCTATCTCAGCCTTCGCGTAGCCCTAGTACTTGTAAACCATCAAAAGGACGACAATTGTCGTAACTAACTTATTACGATTTTGACTAGGTAGAACATCTAAAAAAAACTTAGTTCTGAGATAAATGTCTTGAATCTATCTGACATGAAACTCCCCGAAGCTTCCGATCTTTTTATTATCGGCAGCTCTCGTCGAGAACTTTCTATCAGACTTGTTCTAAGC